GAGAAAAGCGTGTATATACGGTTTTCCGGTGCGCCACGAAAGCCGAAAAAATAGATTTTAGATGATTGTCCGCCTTGTCGTAGGCGCCACACCGCATTCCCTTCCCACCATGCTAAGAAAAGCGTGTATATATATATATATAAAAGCTGCTGTGAAATTTGGAGGTTACTATAGACAGCAAACACCTCATGAAGGAATAAATTGAGTGAAGTTCAGCAAGTGGGAAAGAACTATTTTGATTTATTTAAAAAAAAAAAACAACTGTTTTGGACACAGCCTGACATGAACAGTGATTTCACATGTGCAACAACAGTAAGTGAAACTATTAAAGTTCTCCACGTGAAAAAGAAGCCAGCATGTAACTTTTTTGAAATTCCAACTTACCCATGATAATCGACGACTAAGTTTAAAATACCTCTTAAGCAACTTTATGAGAGTTTAAACTCCAATATAAAAGTTTCCTGCTTTCGTGGCTTTTTCATAAAACATTGTACCCTTCTTTGAGAGATATTCTCTTGCTTTCCCCTTTATTATTCCTTGTGCGGTCAGAAGGGCAAGGCCACTCAGATTTGCAGTTTTGGATTCCCCAGTAGAGTTTGAAAGAGTGGACTGGTTCAGTACTGAAAACGGCTTGAAAGGGAGAGATCGGGTGGAACTTAGGCAGTGGGAAGCCGGCAAGCTTGTGGTCGGTTCAGGCAAGTAGAAGACTTTGAGTGTTTGGCGTGGAGAGGACTTGAAGGTCGGAGGAAGCAAAGGTTGGCGAGGAACTTTGGACGGACAGAGGAGTTCGTAATCGGCAACGGAAGTGTAAAGAGCTTGATTGGAAGGCAGAGGAAGTTATCTTTTTGAAACTCAATTGACGAGAAAAAAAAAAAGACACCCTAGAGCTCCTTTTCTTCGTTTTAACATCAAAAAGCTGTATTCAAATGCGGCAATCTCCATCCGAGGTTTTACTTCAGCAGAAATTACGGGATTTAGATGCCAAACTCAGCTGAAAATCAGGAGATCAGAGAAGATATTCGACAAAACGAGGTTTGTCATTAACGTATTGATTTGATTTTTTTTGTTTTGACTTTTCATATATATTTTATCTTAATTTTAATAAATAAAAAAAGTTAAAAATATGTGCTCTGTCATTATCATCCCCTATTTAAAATAAGTTATTAGATTGATGTGTCAATCATTCCAAGTTGCCTCGAATTGCGTGCTTTCTCGATTTGTGTAATTTCTCGAAATGTGTCTTTCTTTTCATTTAACGTGTCAAATTTGTTGAATATCGAAATTAGACAAATTGATAGTGTATTTAGGATATTAACGATGTCTCGGTCACAACGACATAGTACATTTCACAATCGGACGTTGTTTGAGTGGCACCAAGGCCTAATTTTCATCGAAATACGTGTTGTCATATTCAAATCATCTTGGGATTAGTGTCACCACCTCGAACGATCCAAATTGATTAAATAAAATACATATTTTGGATGTTGATGATGTTCCGGACGGAGCGGCGCAGTCCATTTCATGATCGGACATTATGCCGTCTCCATAAAGGCCAATTTCCTCGATATGCGCGTCCTTGCATTACATTGGGATTGTCTTAATTTGCATCCCACCATCCCAGTTGATACCAATTGAATTTATAAAATACATATTTCGGATGTTGATGATGTTCCAGATGCAGTGGCGCATTCCGTTTCATAATCGGACATCATGCTGTCTCCGTAGAGGCCAATTTCCTCTATATGTTTGTCCTTGCATTACATTGGAATTGCCTCGAGATACATGCTACTAATCTGGATGCTTCAAATTGAATAAACAAAATCTACTTTTTAGAGATTGGCAATGCTCCGGACACAATGACGAAATCTGTTTCACAATCGGACGTCATTTGGATAGCGTCAAATAGGGGTGTCAATTTCGGGTCACGGGTCGGGTTCGGGTCGAACATGAAACAGACCCGGCACTATTCGGTTCAACCCGAACCCGACCCGCTTCAGGTCCGGGTCAACCCGACACGACCCGAATGAGCCGTTTACAACAAAAAAATTGCTAATTTTCGGGTGTCAATCTCCTCTTTTCGAGTCAAAACCGGGTCAAAATCGGGTCAATCTCGGGTTGCCGGGTCAAAATCGAATTTTCGAGTCAAAATCGGATCAATTTTGGGTCAAAGGGTTAACCCGAACACGACCCGATTTTTTAAACGGGTCGAAATGTTGAACCCGAACCCGACTCGTTTCGGGTTCGGGTTGATCCTAACCCGAAATTTTCGGGTCGAGTTCGAGTCGGGTTTTCGGGTTGTGCCAAATATTGACATCCCTAGCGTCAAAGCTATTTTTTCTCGATAAACGTGCCATAACATTTGGATACATTCCACCATTCTGGATGATCCCGATTGATTAAATAAGATGTATACTCTTAATGTCGACGACGTTCCGGACACAATGACGTAGTCCGTTTGGCAATCGAAGGTCTTTTGACCCTTCAAGTGGCGCGTCATATCAACCCGCGCGCTGCTCAATTCGCAATTCTCAACCTTTTCACACGTAGTTTGAGTGATAGGGGTCAACAGTACTTACCACCATAAAAAATGAGAAGGTTCAAGGATAGGAACATTACAAAATTTTCTATGATTACAATAATTACGTTGAAGTCACATTGTATTCATTAACTAAATCAAATACCCAAAGATATTGGCCGAACATACATTACCATCTACAAAATTTCCAATCTCAATCATCAGGAGCATACATACCCTCTTCATCAAATGATGTACTATCAGGTCATTTTAAACTGCATTTACTAAATCAATAAATATATATTTAAAAATAAGAAATTAATTCTCCATATGTTCTTGCCCCAAGGTATCAGTTAAAATAGTGTAATTTACAATAATCTGCAGCACTTAACAATTTTTTATCAGATTTTGTGCAATATTCACTTGCTCTATTACTGAAATTCTCAATCTCAGGTACTAAACCATTTTCATAAAATCAAGAGATTCCTTTCAATGCAATGTTCAAGGAGTAGTTGTACAAATACCTTAGGCTTCTTTTTTAAGGATGGATTTGCAATCCCAATTCATACCCAGCATTTAGTATCGGAGATTCATTTCATAATTAAAGTTTATGTATACCCAAGTTTAATTTCAACCTAAGTTCATTTTCCCATCCACTTCCCTACTACATTATTCTGAGCATCCTGGTTGGACCGTTATTTCTCACCCCATAGTTTAAGAATCTCTTGTGGCCTTTCTGCAGATTTAGCAGGTATTGATAAAGGGATTTCCCTTGCCTTTAAATCTCCTACTGTGCAGAGCAGACCAACAAAATTCAAAGTTATTCGTAAGGATTGATTTGCACGCTAATTACAATTGGAGTTATCAATAATGAACTTTACGGCCTTATCATTTGGATGGAGTTAGGAGAAGCTCCAAGTCATTGCTCCTCAAAATGTGCTAATTCTAAGAAACCGACCTAAAATTCATCATAGGTTTCTAAGAAAAAGAAGGTACTAGTGAATAGAATAGTGTTAGTAAATTAGGAAAAAAAATAAATCATAAGCTATTCAAAGAGGCCTACCTTGATCCTCGGACAGTTCAAGGCCACCGATCCTAAAAGTACGAAATATCCCTATTGAGTTTAACTTTTTGGTCTAATGGTAATTGTTCATCCCTTGAGCCCATTGATGTGATGAACTTATTTCTGATAATAACTAAAATACGATTGAAGATACTAATGTTTCAATTAATTACTATTAACCTTATGCAAGAATTGTAATACAATCTAATGACCAAGATGATATGTAGGACAAACTCAAGCTCAAACTATTAAAAAATTTGTATTAAATTGTCTTGAGTTTTTTTACTTTTCATCATATCCATCTATTTATTGAAATAAATTAAGACATCAGGACATCAACATCCAAATGTGGAAGGTATTTGCATTACCATCATTATCATCACTACTAATATGAGGGAGGAAGTTGATTGGCATTATCACTATTATCTAAATATGAAAAGAACATAGTTTCCATCAATATTACAAAAATATGAAAAGAAATATCATCCAAAAAAAGACTATTATTTTTCATCTTCATCAAGTGTGACATCAAGGGAGATTTAAATCATTATGAAAACAACAATATAGAATCACTCTCCATCCAAATATGCTAGGCCAAATTGGAGAAATAAGGAATCATGAAGAATTCAATCACCCTTCTCTCCCCTCTTTCCTTTATGGCACCATATACAAGAAAGGAAAGCTTGGATGCTTTATTTAGTCTCGATATTACTTCGAATATAATTTCAAGGAGAACCAAGCAATCAAGCAAGCCAGTTTGGAATTAAGAAAATCCCATGGATGCTTTAAGTGGCCGACCCCCATCTCTTTTGCATTAATATCATGCATTTCTTTATTTAATGAAATTATAGTGGAGATGTTAGATATAGAATGGCTTTATAGTAGAAAGTAGACTTAAATATATTTAACTGATACAAATATCCAATATAGTGGGGGTGTCTCTTTATGAGGCAGCGTTTGGTGGTTGTCTCCTATTAGGAAACATTGGCATCTTATTTAAATCTTTACATTATTATTCTTATGAAAGATGATATATCACTTCCCTATAACTTCATCTCTTATATATATATCATCTCATCTTCTTTTTTCATTGGCTAAGCCACCACCTAAGACTTAATATCATGGTTAGACTCCATATAATAGACCAACACATTCCTCCATCATAAGGGATCCTACCTGATGTTGATTACAAGTATCCTATCCCTTTTCTAAGCCAAATCACCACCATCCCTAGCCATCCCACAACAAAATGTTTGACCATCAACCTGAAATCCAAAATGTTAAAATTAAGTAAAAAAAAAATTCCTGCATTATTTATCCATCTATCGCTTTTGCACATGCTACAAATAAAATACCATATTTGACATTCTACAAATGCCATAAATCCATGAAAGACTAGATATGAAATCATATTTGTCCAACCTTTTCCAATAATGTTGAATTTAATGTGTTCCCAACAATCCAAATTATGCGTAGACATGTCTGTTCGGATAGTAATGCTTTTGCCCACAACGTAGACCCAGTTCCATGAAGAGACACAGTTAAAAGCCTGCATGCATAAATGCCAAATTGGAAATTACATATACAGTAAGAATAACTTGACCAGAAATCTTCATTGTTGGTTTGTTGAATCAGCATTTGACTATATCAATAAATAACATCAACTTAGGTGAAAATAAATAGTTGGTCTTCTAAGTTTTTGATGCAATACAAACCATTCATCAAGCCGAAACAGCACCCAAAAGCTTTGATGTTAATAGGCCAATTTCAAAGAGTCAAACAAGGCCAAAATAGAACTGAATTGGACCATTTTGATGCCTATTTTATTTTGACAGAATTTTTAGTAATTTACTTAATTGATTTCTTAGGTGTAATTAACCAGTTTAGATAATTATATGTTTGACTTTAAAAGTTAAGATATGAATGGATTTGATTTTATATAGGATTAAATTGTAATTAAAATTATATTAACTTATCTTTACACTATTTAAATAAATAGGGATTGATGCATATAATTGAATTATTAATTGACTACAAGTCTACAACAATAAGCCTTTATCCCACTGCGCAGGGTCGACTACATTAATCATTTTTCTTCATTTTGTCCTATTAAGAGTTAAATTCTTATTTAACTCTAATAAGAAGGGTCCTTTCGAATACTTTCTAACAAAGTCTTTTCAGGTATACCTCTACATTTGTTAACATATGCCGAATATAATAAATCTACTATTCTAATAGGTCGTCATAAAGCCGACCTTTAATGTGGCCAAATCATCTAAGGCAACTCTCTCCAATCTTATTTTTCACTGGAACTACGCCAAATTTTTAAAGTATATACTCATTCGCATTTTGTCTCTAAGTGTACAGCTACTCATCCATTTGAGCATCCTCGTCTCTGCAACACTTAACATAATTTTATGCTTCTCTTTTAATGGCCAACATTCTGTTCCATAAGGCATTGCAGGTCTCACCACAATCTTATAAAATTTTCACTTAAGTTTGAGGGGTACTTTTTTATCATACAACAGTCCCAATGATTCCTCCACTTTAAAAATTTGGAATTCTACCAATAATATCTAAAATGTGCACTCTTTTTAATGACTTGATCATCCAATGTCACAATCCCACCACTAGATCTATTACTACTAAAATTATACTCCATGTATTCGGTTTTAGATCTACTCAAACGAAAACCTTTAGACTCTAAGGTTGACCTCCATAATTCAAATTTTTCTTCATCTCTCTCTCTAGTCTTATCAACAAGAAAAATGTTATCAACAAAAGCCATACACCAAGCTACATCCTCTTTCAATTGTTCAGTAAGTACATCCATGTCTAAAGCAAAAGGATATGGACTTAAAATTAATCTTTGATACAATCCAACTGAAATAGAAAAATACTTGGTCAAGCCACCTTGTGTTTGAACATATGTAATAGCTCATATATATATATATATATATATATATATATATATTTATTTCTTAGCCTAGAAATCACTCAATCACCTACTTTAGTGAGAAGTTAATTGCAGCTAGGTAGAAATAATTTACTTATTGTGGGATCCGAAAATTCACACTCCGGCTTGTCTGCGAAACCCTTTCTTTTCTTTCGGGTCGTCGAGGAGAGTTTTAACGAGTAGGTTCTAAGGCAAATTTTTAGCAGACAGATTGGATTGAGAATAAGACACTACCCAAAGATTTCGCCCTCATTTTGCGAGGACTTTATGATCTGAGTTCATGCTTCCTATAGGCGCAAGCCCCTATAGTTAATTACCCTTCCCAAAAATGAGAGAGAACTTTTGATTAAGATTAGTCATCAAACAGATACATAGAGATACGTGATATACAGAGTATAGTAGCAGCATGGATTCAATTTTGAGACTAAATATTCAAAATTAAAAATTTTATCATCTTGTATTTAAAGCGGATGGTGGAGGAATGTTGATGGACCTGATAAAGATCACATGGATACGTTGTCCCGGGTCATCATGGTCTCTGGTCTACTTAATTAGAGGAGATAGTCGACCCAACCTGACAGAAGGATCCTAGTCGGCAGCCATGGGTTGCTTCGTCCAATTGTACCTTGTAAACCTGAAGTAAATATTTGTCTAAGGGAACAAATTTAAATCCACCTTAGCTAACAAAGGGCTTTGTGTCCTATCGATTATATCCTATTGATTCATATATCAAGGATTTGACGCCATTGGAGAGCATACGGACTCTAACCATGTCCGTAATTTAGTGGTGCCATTTGGCGGCAAAATCCACCTAGTTCAGAGGGTTATGGTCATAATTGTTTATCTGTGAAGCCATTTAGTGGCAAAATTCACGATTTGCTGCCATTTTGAGGCAAAACCACCGGTTGGATGGCATGTGCCACGTCCTTGCTAGCAAGAGACTATTTGAGAATGAATCTTAGTGATATTCTTGGCCAGACATTGGCTCTTTATGAGCTGAAGTAATTTTCAAATTTGTCCAGCTCAAAAAATTATTGCGGAGGATGGACAAATTTTACTTTAAGCATTTAGATGCTTTATGTCAATTTTAAATATTTAAGGCCTTGGTATTTTTGAGTATTTTACATTTTCGTGGGCATTTGGGTGGAATTTTTAAATATTGAGATCCCCTCCGCTTGAGATTTTTATTCAACATGACCATCATCAGGGTGATATTTATGGACAATTTCATTTTGTTGGTTGAACCTTATCAACTTTGTCAAATTGTCAACAGAGGATCGGGTTCGTCGTCGGCTTTATGTCTTTGTTAATGAATTTTCCTTGTTATGGGCCTTGAAGGCCTAATATGAACTATAAAACAAATATTCTGGTCGACGTCACGACTGTATATCTCTTTAACGATTCGAGCCGTGCCAAGTCCTATCTAGTCATATAGAAGAATCTGGCTCAAACTTATGTTCATTTTTGAACCTGCGCAGCATCCTCAGACGTCACGTGTGTAAATACAACACGCTCGCCGGGGACCATACGGGTGTATGCTTTTGCGTGCATTTTGCATAATATGATTGCGTGAATTATTATGACCGATGCAATGCATGTATGGTTGAATTTAAAATATTTGGCATTGATCTGCTGTGCAAATGATTTCAATTTGAGTGTGCAAAACATTATGTTTGGAAGCTTGTTGACGTCTTTTGGTTGCTTGTATGAGTGTTGCAGATCTGATGGTGTGGCGTTGTTGTTGACCCCGACACCTCAAACCATGTGCGAAAGGACCAAATTGGTGAGTAAAGCGATACACACCTTAGCACCACGTGTCACTTGAAGGATCAAACGACCTCTGATAGCCAAACGGATGGAGTCGTTGTGATCATGACATTGAATTCTGCTAGGTCGAGGCCGCTCGCAACTGAATCGAACGAGATCGGTTAAAAGGGAAGACCAACACCTGAAATTAAAGTGCAAGACGAATCAAACGACGTCGGATCAACGAACAGACTTTATCATTGCGTCCGAAATGTTGTCAACCTCTAAAAATTACATTTTTGTTTATTCGATTTGAAACATCCGGATTGGTGGCACAGATCCCGAGGCAATCACAAATTTCAAGAAAAATCAGCCTTGTCGCTATCCAAATGATATTCGTTCACAAAACGGATTTCTCCATTGCGGTCGAAATATCGCAAATACTCAAGAATTACATCTTTTATATTCAATTTGGATTATTCAGATTGATGGCGAATTTCAAGATAAAACACGCATATCGAGAATAGGCCTTATTACTGCCTAAACAAAGTCCGATCGCGAAACGGACTCCACCACTGCGTTCAGAATGTCCCAAATACATAATAATGACATTCAATTTGACAAATTGAAGACATGCAAGGAGGTTGGCATGCATCCCGAGGCAAAGCACAAATTTCAAGGAAAATGTCACTTGATGCTATCTAAATGATGTCCGATCGTGAAACGGACTGCGTCGTTGTATCCGGAACACCATCAATACCCTAAATGTACTGTCAATTTGTTCAATTGAGGTTGTGCACGCAAATCGAGGTAATCCCGTGTAAAATTACCCTCGGCGTTGCTCAAACAACGTCCGATCGTGAAACGAACTGCGTCGTTGTGTTTGGAACACCGACAATACCCTAAATGCACTATCAATTTGTCTAATTTTGATGTTCGGAGAAATCAACATGTTAAACAACACAATGTGCACGAATATCGAGAAAAGTGGCATGCGAATTGAGAAAACAACACGTAGAACGAGGTGATTTTGACTTGATGCAGTTATGTCATTTTGAATTAATGCTGGAATGACCAAAATACTAATGTGGCGTTAACTCAATAAGAATCTTACAAAAGAGGAGATGCTAAATTAGGGAATAGTCATGTTTTAATTAAATACATATTAGACATACCCCGTTCTGTCAATCTGCCAATCTGCCAATCTGCTCCGCCTCGTCAACTCAACCTAAAAGGGCAGCTGGCACTTGTCCTTAAAGCGAATTGGAATGAAATTTGGCTGGCCCTTCAACCCCTATTCAAAGATCATCTGTCCATCCGTCTCCTATCCACGCAAAAACAACAAAAAGAGGTCCACTCCTTTCTCCACAACCTCTGTCCACTCCAGATCAATTTTCCTTCCTTATGCGAAGACTTCAAAAAAAAAAAACCTCAGCAAACCGACGCCTGTAGTTTCCTCCCTTGCGTGAGAACTGATCCAAAACCTCTCCCAACTGGCCTCCACTTTCCTCCCAAACCGCAGCTCACCTGCTCCAAATTTCAGCCTCCAAAATTCCCCACGACGAGACCTGTCTGTCCGCTCCTGCTCTTTCCCTCAACCTGTTCCTTTCAGCAATTAAACGTCTGCAGCCTCCTCCCCTTTCACGAGTCTGCTTCAAGCTGCAGTTGAATCCCCTTTGAAAGCAGAAGTCCAAGGCTCTCCTTATACCGTTCCTATTGATGCTACACGTTAATTGTGCTTTTCACGTGTTTCACACCAGCAACCACTGAACTTTTCATCTTTATTGGTTCTATTGAGTTTTCTTTATTCTCCTCCGTTAGCTCATTGTATTCCAAAGGAAGAAGAC